AAGCCCTAGAGCCCTAGAGCCCTAAAGCCCTAAAGCCCTAAAGCCCTAAAGCCCTAAAGCCCTAAAGCCCAAAACCTTAAACCCTAAACCCTAAACCCAAGCCCTTCTTGCGTTGAAAGCCATTCCAAGAGGCGCCTTGGTCGGCCAACGACGGAAGGAAAAACGGCCTCCAAGAGGATCGGAGCTTGGGGTTTGGGGTTTAGAGTTTAGGGTTTAGGGTTTAGGGTTTAGGGTTTAGGTTTTAGGGTTTAGGGACTTACTGGGCCTAAACCCGGAATGCTAAATATAAACCCCGAAATCCCCAATCCCTGAACCCCAGATAAGGCGCGTTCACGAATTGAGGAACGCAACCTTCCGGGCTCATTCGCCGAAGCGGCTCAGATCCTTTACAGGAATTTCGCAGAGGATGTTTGTTTAGGGTTTGTCTTTCACTGTAAACCCAAACCCGCAAACCGCTATACCCTAACCCCCACCCAAAAAACAAGTAGACATATATATGTATATATATATATACATATATATATATATATACATATATATATATACACCGAAAACCCATCTATACAAATGCAGAGAGAGATATATATATATATATATATATATATGTCTAATACCCCAAACCCCAAAAGTAGGGTGACTTGGAGCTTCGGTTGCGATCCAGGGACTTCATGCGAGGGCCTTAGGTGGTGGACACGTCGAAGGCTCTGGCGATTCTTCAGGGCAGAGTGCTCGAGCGGATCTAGGGTTTTGCAGCGGTCTTTCGCTTCAACAACAGGGCCTCACTTGCACAGAGAAGAAAGTCGCCTTTCTTCGCGGCCTGCATGTTGACATAGCAGTGGATCGCGTCCTGGCCAGGCTTCTTCCTGAAAAGGGTCATGTTCACTCAAGCTCCGAGGTCGTTTTGACGTGCCAAAACGGCACAAGCACCGACTTCGAGTCGAGCTTGGACCCGTCGGCAGGTGCTTTCGTGGCAGCGATGCCATAGGCACGAAAGGTCAGGGTGGTGACCTGCTTCTCGATCACATACAAGGCACCATAGCATGGCAACACAAGGCCTGCTGGGGCGCAAGTCAGCAGCAGCACACAAACCCTGACCGGACACGAAACGAATCCCCTAAACCCTAAACCCTAAACCCTAAACCCTAAACCCTAAACCCTAAACCCTAAACCCTAAACCATCTGCTCACAGGCCTGGCAGCCAAGGGAAAGGAGCCCCCTGTGCTTTTTCTGTGTCGATGGACTCTTTCACCCAATCACTCTGGGAGATGCCATGCTGCAAAGCAACGGAAACATCGAGGACCTGAGGGATCTCCTGTTTTAGCATTTAGGGTTTAGGGTTTAGGGTGTAGGGTTTAGGGTTGGAGGTCTGGTTTAGGTGACCAGGGTTCTGTGGGCTTCAAGGGTTTGAAGGGTTAAGGCCATTCGGCTCGCGGGGCACGGGTGCGCGGGTCTGAGACGTGGGGCTTAGGATTTGGGGTCGGAGGCCCAAAAAGCTCTAAAGCCGGAACCTTGAACCTTGAACCCTAAGCACCCCTGAAGCCTAAACCCTAAACCCTAAACCCTAAACCCTAAGCCCTAAACCCTAAACCCTAAACCCTAAACCCTAAACCCCCCCTCAACCCTAAACCCCTAAACCCAAAACCGAAGCTCCATATGTTTCAGGCCTGCGGGGCCGAGTCGCCAGCAAAGCCAGCTCTGCCTGAAGGGCTTGGTCTGCGTTTAGGGTTTAGGGTTTAGGGTTTAGGGTTTAGGGAATCGGGTTTAGGGTTTAGGGTTTAGGATTTAGGGTTTAGGGTTTAGGGTTTTGGGTTCATGCCCTGAGCCCTGAACCGCAGCTGCCTTAGGGCTGAAAATGTGACTCCTCGAAACCGTGCAAGAGCCCAGCGTTGTGGAGTTCGGAGGGTTCAGGGTTCGGGGTTCGGGGTTTGGGGTTTAGGGGTTTAGGAGTTTAGGGTTTAGGGTCTAGGGTTTAGGGTATGGGTTTAGGGTATGTATGGTTTAGGGTTTAGGGATAAAAGGTTTTTGGCCTCAAGCCCAGCTAGGCCTCGCATTTTGGACCTTTGACCTATGTGCTACCTACGTCTTTGGGGTCGTATGGGGCTTGCACTATGAAGCAATGATTGCAGGTTACTTGCTCGACTACCTACTTGAACCATGCATTTCTGCATCACCTCTGCACCTTCAACCTTAAACCCAGAATCACTGAAAAGGCCACCTTGACCCTGCAACCTAAACCCTAAACCCCAAACCCCAAACCCTAACACTCACAGTTCTAGAGGGGATTATAATATCCCCCCCAAAAGTGTAAAGTGTGCTGACTCAGCTACTAAGAAAGGTAGAAGAACCAAACTCTAAATCCTAAACCCTAAACCTGAAACCTTAAACACAAAACCCTAAATCCTAAACCCTAAACCTGAAACCTTAAACCCTAAACCCTAAACCCTGAACCCAAAAAGTCTTTCGTGAAGGAAGCTCCTCACCTGCAGCTGTCCTAGGCAAGAAGACCCGAGAGGCCTCGAGCTAGGGTATAGGACTTAAGGGTTAAGTTGCAAACAAGCTAGAAACAAATCTCTCAAGCCCCCGACCCCTTCTCCCCCAACCCTCGCTCAAAAAATCGTGCTGCTGGTTCCAGGCGTTGTGTCCCACAGGGAGTTCGGGGTTGGTTCAGAGTTCGAAGAACCGTACACTGCCACAAGTGCCATCCACCCAACCTCCCCCCCCCCACCCCAAACCCCAAACCCCAAACCCTAAACCCTAAACCCCAAAAAACTCCAAACCCTATATACACCCTCAAGCCTAAACCCTAAACCCTGCGTGAACCCCTTTAAGCCCCCTCAAGCGCGACCGAGAGGCACTGCCCGCCGCCGCAGTCCATCACTATGGGCTCCCCCCGCCGGTCCGCCATGTTTTTGTTTAAGGTAAGTTAAGGGGTTTAGGGTTTAGGGTTTAGGGTTTAGGGTTTAGGGTTTAGGTTGGGCCCTGAATTCTGGGACCCTTGAGGTGCTTTAGGGTTTAGGGTTTAGGGCTAAGGTAAGAAGGTTGGGCCCTGAATTGACGGACCCTTCAGGTCATGTAGGGTTTAGGGTTTAGGGTTTAGGGTTTAGGGTTTAGGGTTTAGGGTTTAGGGTTTAGGGTTTAGGGTTTAGGGTTTAGGGCTAGGGTTTAGGAGCTTGGAGTTTAGGGTGTAGGAGGTAGGGTTTAATGGTTCAGGGTTCAGGCACTGAGGCCTTCCGGGATGAATTCAAGTTAGGGTCCAGGAGTTTAGTGTTTAGGGTTTAGGGTTACATGGTTGGTTTAGGGTTTAGGGTTTAGGGTTTAGGGTTTAGGGTTTAGGGTCTGGGGTTTAGGGCTTAGGGTTTGGATTTTTGGGCATAGGCCCGGGGCTGACGTACGTGGCTTAGGGCTTTTAGGATGAAGGTGTTTCGGGCTTGTTGCATTAAAGCAGCTCCTGCCAGAGTGGCCCTAAGGGTCCAGGTACCTAAATATTGAATACTTAGGCCTTAAAGTACTTCCTATATAGGGACTTTGGGGCCCAAGTATATAATAATGAGGTACATGGACCCTTAGGGTGGGTTTACCCTTAGGCTCCGAATAGCCCAACGTAGGTACTAATTGCAGACTTTCGACCCCAAGGTAGGTACTATTTGTATACTTGGAGCCCTAAGGTTAGAGGAACTCGAATAAGGGGAGCTTTTGGGTTTAGGGTTTGGTAAGGTTGTGGGATGTGATCTATGTTTGCCTCTATATGTGTTTACAGGGATCATGTTCAGGAATGTTGTTCAGAGGGCTCGAAGCTTCAAGCTGCAACCTTCCCATTGCTTCATTGACAAGCCGAAGCCCTGAACTCCTAAACCCTAAACCCTAGACCCTAAATCAACACTGTAAGACTAGGTTCTTACATCAGGGGCGAGGGGATCACTAACTAGATTTTGAGTTCATGTTGCACCCTACTTAGTCCCCCCGCCCTCCCCCCTGAACAGTCGAAGCCAGTTTTGTCCCTCTTTATACCGTCCACGGGTTTTCTTATATGGTTTTAATAGGCGGGAGCTTATTTTAGGGTTTATGGTTTAGGAATTTAAAGCCCGGCAATGGATGTTAAAGGCGCGCCGCGCACGACACCCGGAAGACTTGACTTACAAAAGGATCCCTAAACCCTAAACCCTAAACCCTAAACCCTAAACCCTAAACCCTAAACCCTAAACCCTAAAGCGGTTGACTGAACTGCGTGATCCCCGAGAACCTGGCCATCATGCGAGGCAGTACTCCCATGATGGCCCCTTGTAAGGGTGCCCTAGGTATTCGACTCGGTTGGGGGTTTTGGGTTTAGCGTTTGGGGTTTAGGGGGTTTAGGGTTTAGGGTGGCAGGGTTTTGGGTTTAGGGGTTAGGGTTTAGGGTTTAGGGTTCAGGTGTCATGCTAGGAACCCCAAAAGGAGCACAATGTACAGTGGCTGTTGTTCCCGTCGCTTAAAAGAGTCAGAGGCGTCTGCAGTCACATCGGACTAGTATGTACACCCTAAACGACATCAAGCTGGCGGAGGGTCCACAGGGTGGTCCTTAGGGTTTAGGGTTTAGGCTTTATGGGGTTTAGGGGTTAGTGTTCGGGATAAGAACATGCACGTGTTAGCTATATGAAGTAGGCGTGTATCTCTTGTACCCCCCAAAAGGACACCCAATATATACACTGACCAATATTAAAAAGGAACCGTATATACACTCACCACTAACAGAAATTTAAACCCTTTTTATCATATCCGCAGTGTTCACTTGGAACCCTATTCCAACTGAACCGCGAACAAACCCTCGATGCGCCCGGACCCTACTTCTGTACCTACAGTTCGCAGTGGGGTGTAATCGAGGTTGTGGGACGTATGCGATCTACTGAATGGCAAGGCCTTTTCGGAAACTGAAGGGAACACTGGGCAACCGGGTTAGGGGTCCTTGGGTTTCGGGAAACTGGGGAGCTCTCTTCGGACCACCCTGAGTACGGACCTTCGGCGTCCTACGATCCCCAATAGGGTCGATGCCACCAGGAATTGCCCTGCAGCGTCGCAAAGGCAGTCAGTTGAGAGATGCAGACAATTTAGGGTTTAGCTAGGCTTTAGGGTTGAGGGTATAGACGGCGTTAACCTTAAAACACCCTAAACCCTTATGTAACCCTTTCAGGGTTGATAGTTGGGTTGGGGGGACGGGGGGACCTAGTTTCGGATATCTTTGTTTAAAAAGGAAAGAAGAAAGTGCCAGAAACCATTAACAATTAATCTGCCTTCTACCACCCAGATAGACATTCACAAATGTTTCATACGAACCATATCTACATGCAACAGTATCACTTATGTGAACTCTATGCCTAATATGGGGTTTCCAAATATGTTGTTTGTTTTTGTTGGTTGGGTGGGTGGGGGGTCTCGTAAGGGAGATAACGCTTACATGCAGTTTTTCTTGGAAACGCCCATCAGGAAAGATTGAGCCTCGAAGTGCTTGGAACAAAACCTTGCAACAAAACCGTTTTATAAAACTAGGGTTTAGGGCTTAGGGCCCAAAATCTCTAAGCATTGAACATTACACCCTCGTACATGAACCACGGCAGATGGCTCAGAGTTTAGGGCTTCCAGCGAAACCCTTTGGTTTAGGGCCTCGGGTCCAAGTCTTAGACGCATTCACAGTGCACCATGGGGAGTTCTTTAAAATGGGGGCCCTTTTGGGGGCAGAACAAACAGCTATAACACACATATGTTAGAGAACTGCCCATATGCTACAATGTCAACAAGTCCACAGAAACCCTAAGCCCTACACCCTCAACCCTATACTAACAGCCCTTGCTAGGGATTATCATAGGGGGTACCAGAACCCCTATTTGTTAGTACAAGGGGGAACGTCCCAACCCTTTGTCCCTAAACCCTCAACCCTCAACCCTAAACCCCTAAAACCCTCAACCCTAAACCCTAAACCCTCAACCCTAAGCCGGCTTCTGGCCTGGTACCAGTCTCCCCACCGGCCCTGTCGCCAATCCCAGCGGTCTGACCTGCGAGGGTTTTGTTTGCGGACAAGCCCTTGAAGTTGAGGGTTTAGGGTTTTTAGGGTTTAGGGTTTTTAGGGTTTAGGGTTTAGGGTTTCGGGTTTTAGGGTTTAGGGTTTAGGGTTTAGGGGTTAGGGGTTAGGGGTTTAGGGTTTGGGGGTTAGGTTGAGGAGTGGATTCCTTGATCCCTACACAGAAAAACACACAACCCTAAATCACTCAAGAGTTTTGGGGTTTGGATGCTTTGCTAGGGCCAGGGTTCTGCGGGGCATGACGCTTCACGCTGAAACTTCGAGGGGCCTTAGAAAGGCTTCAACCCTACAAGTCCTAAGCACCCTCCCCTAGACTACCGCATTCCACAAAGCACCAACCCACGAACCAAAGCCCAAACGTTCCAAAAGCCCAAACTCCCCCGGAACCCTGAACCCTCAACCCCAAACCCTAAACTCTAAACCCTAAACCCTAATCCTAAACCCTAAACCCTCACAACGCGGGTGCGAGATGGAATCTGTAGGCCGAAGGTTCTAAGGTTCAAAGGTCTCCTGGATCCAGGTGTCCGGAATGGTGGGGGGGGGGACAGACCATACCATTCAAGGCGAGGCTAGGGCTTAGGGCTTAGGGCTTAGGGCTTAGGGTTTAGGGTTTAGGGTTTAGGGTTTAGGGTTGAGGGTTGAGGGTTGAGGGTTGAGGGTTGAGGGTTGAGGGTTGAGGGTTTAGGGTTTAGGGTTCAGTGTTTAGGATTTAGGGGTTTAAAGTTTGGCCATTTGGGGCGTTGATGGCCTTGGGCTGCTGGCTTCGCCTTTGCCAGGGTGCAGAAAGCTAACCTCAAAGCCCTTTAGTCCTGTAGGTTTGGATGTTCGCCCGTTTTAGGGTTTAGGGGTTTGGGGTAATATAGGGGTCGGAATTATTACGAATAATATGCCATTATGGTCCCTTTGTAATTATACCATAGAACCCCCTAAGACCCCTATTCGAACTATTCGGGCCCCTAGAGTAGGTTGGGATGTCCCCCCTATACTACTAACAGTCCCGAAGTAGCACTATGATAAAGGTACTATAAACCCTATATTAAGGGCTGCTAATATATTGGGGGGACATCCCCCAAACCCTGAAAAAATCCTGTCAACCCCATAAACCCTATAAATTACCCTATAGACTTCCCTACAAGGTACCCTATGAACCCGGTAAACCCCATGAAATCTACAAAGCCGGTAACAAAGGTTTGTTTTCTTGGCCGACCCCAAGGCCACAGGAATGAACCCTAAACCCTAAACCCTAAACCCTAAACCCTGAACAACCTGCACCGAGGCTGCCGCCATTGCCAGTCGTACCAGCTCCCACGCAAGCTGGGCACATCTCCAGGCTCCGAGCGCCTGCTCTTTGAGGATTGTTGCGGGTTGAATTCGGGCTTAGGGTTTAGGGTTTAGGATTTAGGGTTTAGGGCTAGGGTTTAGGGTTTAGCGGTAGGGTTATGGGTTGACTTCGGATTTAGTGTTGAGGGTATATGGTTTTGGGTCTGGTGTTTAGGGGTAGGGCTTGGGGTTTAGGGTATATGGTTTAGGGTTCAGGGTTTAGGGTCTAGGGTTGGGGGATAGGGTTTGGGTTTGGGGTTTCAGCAGTGTTTAGCACTTCGGATTTAGGGTTTAGGGATTGGGCGTACTGCTCTCCATCCTGGGTGTGGAATATCTCCCATTCTCTCCGTCGCGATTGCTGCTGTGTCTCCCATCCGCCTTAGAACCCTGAAGAGTGTCTCGCAAGGTAAACCCTAAACCCTGAACCCTAAGAGTGGATGTGGAGTGCCCCCTCCCAGAGTGTTTTCGCAGTGAGTCTTGTCGAGTACCTGTGGAGAGCCGGCGAAGTATCCCGAATTACCTGTCGTCCGAAAAATGCAAGACGGCGCCCACATTTTTCGGCGGAATTTTCGATGGCTTAGGCGCGGGGGTGGTCGAAGGAAATAATGTAAAGGTTGTGGGAACCCTGGAAACATAGGACAGCAGGGTACGCATCGTGTTCAGTGGCTGTGTAAAGAGATCCAACACCCTCTCCAACATGAGGGCAGCCTAAAACCCTGAAAACCTAAAACCCTAAAACCCTAAAACCCTAAAACCCTAAAACCCTAAAACCCTAAAACCCTAAAACCCTAAAACCCTAAAACCCTAAAACCCTAAACCCTAAAACCCTAAAACCCTAAACCCTAAACCCGAACCCCGCCTAATTAAACCGTTTGGGGGCCTTGAGTTTCTTTTGGGGACTTGGGGGGGGGGGGGGGGGGGGACCACCTTGGGGGCTTTGACAGCAGCGTTGATAGGGTTTGGGGTTTAGCTTTGGCTGAACGCAGTAGCGTGAGGACACGCCCCACCCCTCTTCGGGTCTAAGGCTTAGGGAGAACTCCGAAATTGCGTGATCTTCGGCCTTTCCCAGCTGGTCTTGTCGGAGTTGAAGGACGTCTCCGCCCTGGGCAGTTGGGGAGGGTTTGGCTGGGGACAAAGCATCCTTTCAACCCGGCCCAAAAAACCCTAAACCGCAGAGGCGTTTGGAGTCTGCAGCGGGTAGCAGCAGGTAACGTAATGTTGGGCTCTGACTCGTGAGGTTGTTGTGGGGTCCAGCTATCTCTCTCTCACGTAAGTGCACACAGCACTGGTTTTCTCGTGGCGCACAAGCGCGCCGTCCGTGGCTCAGGTAGCCGTCAGAACCTGCCTAGAAAAAGGGGCCCCTTGGTCTAAGCCTATACATCGTGGGTTGCGCACAACTGATACATGAACTGACACATCAAGGCTTCACAATTCGCACCACCCCCAAAAGAAGTCAGTTGTGCACATCCGAGACCAAGGGACTCGTCTACAGTTGCGACTGCGCTTCGGCCAGCTTTCTTGTTCTTTTTAGCTGACACGAAGTTAGGATCGAACTTTATACACCAGCGGCCTGAGCGGAGGAACTTCAGGAGGCCAGTCCGACAATCGGGTCGCTTCTTCGTCAGAGCATCGCCGAGGTCGACATCCGAGGCCACCCAACGTAGCTCTCCACCAGTGCGACGGAGGTTGTCCCTCAACTGGAACGCTTGGAGGGCTGCTCGCATGTTGCTCAAGCCCAGAAGGGGGCTCTCATTCAGCTCCACTGCGTCGTAGCCTCCTTTGCTGTCGGTGCAAAGGATGCCCTTCACCCTCATCGCGATCTGCTCCTCGGCTTCCACCCAATCTTTGCGTAGGGCACGTTCCGAATCGAAGCCACCAGCACCATGGATCTCGGCCCACAACAGTCGAGTTCTGAAGTTCTGGTCCTCCGATTCCAGCATGGCTTGGACCTCTGCATCGTTGCTTCCAATCGCCTTCCTTTTTAGCTTCCAGGTCCTCCATGCAATGATGCTCATCGCACAAACTTGTCCCTGAGCACTTTCAGGACCGGCCAACAGCGTGATCATGCCGCCGGTGCTGTCGCCCTTTGGACGATTGGAGTGCGCCTGGTCGCCCATCGTGATCACCACTACATCGGACCAATGCTTCGCCAGGTGGAACTTAGCGAACACCAGGGAAAAGGGTTCACGGCGCACCTCCATGATCACTTCTTGAATCTCTCGGGCCACGCTCATCATCGCGGTCGTCACCAAGTCGGTGAGGAGAAGATTGCACCGGGCACATATTTGAGGCTGTGACTGAATCGCCAACCACTGCAAGGCACCCAGGCTAGTGCGACAGGCTTCCACTTCCCTCCGTTCCAAGGGCCTGTCCACCCGCAGCTGGTCTGGAGGAATGTCAAGGTCTGGAAGGCCTTCGGCATAGTAGTCGTGAGTCGTGATTCACCACAATCTTCATGTAGCCAAGATCGTCTTTCAGCGTCATGATGTCGGTGCCAGCATGACGATAGTTATTCACCTTGGCCATGCCCCATTTATAGGCTTTGTTGATCTTCTCCTTGATCTCCAGCCACTCAGGAGAGCCATCTCCCACGCGATGAAAATCATCGACATGACCGCCCATTGCGCCACGTAGTTTGGGGTGCTCGCCATCCAGCTCAAACTTGAAGAGAAAAATCCAAAGACATCGTTCGCCAAGCACAGGCTGACCTCCCAGAGATGTCAAGGTCTTATGTAGGTCCAGCCACAGACCTCTTGGCGCCGTCGTAGACCCATAGATGTTCCGAAGGATCCTCATGATCCCTTCTTCGCCAATGCCTAGGGCTTCTCTCAACTCCTTGACGCCATAGGTCCAGATCTCCTGGTCGGCCTCTGTGGCTTGCGTCTGCAAGAAGGCCGTCGCCAAATCCAGACCCTCAATCTCCCACTGATGCTGCACAGCCAGTGAGTAGAGCAGGTTGCGTCCCACGGTTGACTGCACTGGACTCGCTGTCTTGAACGTGGGATCCAGGAGGTTCGGATGCTCAAACCCCAACAAGACGATTCGAGCTTTGGCCTTCTTGGATCCATCGGATGTGTAAACGGTCGAGGGGTTGGTCGCACCATCTTGCTTGGCCTCAGCTAACTCCTCAGTAGGGGTCAGCTTCCACGTCAAAACCCATCGAGCCCGAACAATCCTTCGTGACTCATAGGCCTTGCGGATCTCCTCGTTGTCCAAGCACTGCCGCGCCGCCTCATTCTTCAGGAAGGAGTCCACCTCTTTGAGTTTCGCTCTTTCGAACAAGGCTCGCTCACGTAGAGGAAGTCGATTCACCGATACCTCAGCATCTTTCATCTTCTTCACCAGGTACGCCACAGGATTCCGCTCGAACATCTTCCTCTGTCTATTAGAGGAGAAGGCTTCCAGCTCCAGTTCAACCTGCAGAAACTCGTGGGTCTCCATGAAGGCGCTGTAGATGTCCAAGCTAGCAACTTCCATCTCCTCTGCGGTGTGAAGTTCTTGAACCCAGTTCTGCTGCGTTCTTGCCCGTTTAACATCCGGCTCCTCGTAGTCATTAACCTCTGGCGGTTCATGTGGCAAGGCTGCGGAAGAAGTCGTGTCAACGGGATTTGGTTCCTGTGGTCGACTGGTCGTAGTTGGACTGGTGGTGGAAGAAGCCGATGCTGGAGCAATATTTGCTGTGGGACCAGAGAACGAAGTTGCCGCTGAGGTACTAGATGGTTCGGAAGTCATCTGACCATCATTACGTGTGGGACCAGAGAACGAAGTTGCCGCTGAGGTACTAGAGGGTTCGGAAGTCATCTTCTGTCTCTCACGCCCCTTGCTCGCGCTCGAGGGTTTCAGTGCGGTTTTTCGCACCAGCCTCCTTGCGGGAACCACTGTAGTCGAAGAGTCAGGCATGGGAGGCAGATCAGGGGCTTCCACCTCACTCTCGTCCGGCACCTGGTCCGTCAAATCTTGATACTCCCGCTGCGGAAGCACGTCGGCCAGAGACCGCCAAGACGTGGGATCTTCTTCCCCAGAAGTCTCAAAGACAAACTTCTCTGTCTCGGTCACAGGACGCACCGAGTGTGCTGAGCAGCGGAAGAGCTGAGACCCGATCAGGACCCAGACAATGTGACGTCGGCCATCATCGCCTTCCTGATGAGGTAGAACTTCATTAAACACCACTCTTCCAGGTCCAATCCAATGGGGACGCCCAGACTTCTTGAGACCTCCACGGGGTCCTTGAAATTGCTCCTTGGGCCACACGCGTCTCCAGATTTTCACCAAGTCCATCGCGTGAAATTGCCGAAGTGGTTGTCGAACGGTGGTGTTCCCCAGTCGGGTAAGAACACGACGAGCCCTGGTCTTTGCTGCGATTGCCTGAGCGTTTTCTCGGGCAGTCACCGCGAAACCATCCTTGTACTCCGACAGAGAGAAGGTCCTCACATCTTCATCGTTCAAGCTATACTCCTTGCCAAAGGCCCATTGGAAAGCCGAGTACCCAGACGTGTACTCCGTGGAGTTCAAGGCAGAGGTGGCAAGGTGCAAGGTTATCCTGGAATCCTGGGATCCTGGGCCATATCTTCCATGTGGATTGCTGCCGCAGTCATCTTCAGGTCCTTGACGCCTGCTTCCATGGCTCCATGTGCCCATGCTTCTTTCTCTGCAACGAAGGAGGCCATGATATTCAGGTTGTGGCAGAAGTCATGCACGGTGTCGGCGGCGAAGGTTTTGGCTGCGTCCAGGATGAGCACCCTGGGTTTCGGAAAGGCGCCCAGCCAGCGTTCCGAGAAGGCCTTCAGCACATCATCGGCCGTCTCTGTCCTCATCTCCAAGAAGCCGTACTCATACAAGGGCTGCACCACGCGAAGCTTCGTAGCCAGGTCCATAAAGAGGACGAACTTGTACTTCTTCTTACAGCCAGAGGGAACCCATTCACCAACGTCGGCACCAACAGCTTCCCAGGCCTGGTACATGGCGTGCGTAGCTGCTGGCGGAATCTGCGCCGAGCTGGTGCCTCCTGCCTTCAAGCTCTGGCATCCCGGACACTTGTGGTTCAGCGCCACCTGCACTTTCCAGTCTTCATGGCCAGCGTCCTTGATGATCTTTGCCAAGTTGCGGTTCGTGGGATGTCCAGCGGCCTTGTGGAATTTGGCCACTTGTGCTTCCCACTTCGCCTTCTTCTCCTCGGAGATGCTTTCTTCATCTTCAGCCTCCTTTTCACCGGCCAAGATCGACATCTCCTTGGGGACCATATTGGTTACAGTAAAACCAAGTTGGCAAAGACGATTTCGGCCCATGTCGGAAAGCTCAGGAAGCAGCCGTGTCGTATAGGCGCTCACCACAAACCTTTTTCCGGTCCAAGCTTCACTGCAGTGAGTGGTTCGAGGATTGAAGACTACGAACTGGTTCTTCGACGGCAGCACATAGCCTTTGGCCAATGTACCATCCACCATCTTCTTCCGCACACACAGTTGGCCAACGGGAGGATCACCTTGAAGCCATAGACCACCACGTTGATAGTCGCCAACTCCATGCAGGATATTTGGAAACCCGGGAAGATTGTGGTAGTCTCGATGAGGAGCGGCACCGCCATTGAGACTGACACTGAAGCTGGACCAATGATGCTCCGGAAGATGATGTCGGAAGTAGGCATTAATATACCTGGTGACCTCCACATGCTTTTCAGTGCTGTTCGTGATGCCCTTGAGAGCACCATGAGAGAAGGCACCCAGCGTGAGCCTTTTCGTGCTCCTGGGTAGCCAACGAAGATTGTCGATTTGCTTTTCATGCAGACCTTGGTGAAGCAAATCCAACAACGTGGCCAGGTGGTGAGCTTCAAATTGTTGTCGCAGGCGGGCTTCACGAGCCCAGGCTTCAATGGAGATCAATTCCGCTGGAAGCACTTCGAGGTCGTCCTCCTCCAGATCATGTGTCTCCTCTGGTTCTTCCAGTAGACAGCTCTCGGCTGCCTGATTGAGCACCAAAGGAAATTCTTCCAGCAGCGCGGATTGATCTTCACGTCGCCGAAGAAGAGAAACATGTCGCTCTGGAGCAAGTTGGTCCTTCCAGAAGCGAGCAATGGCCTGGACCATACGCCAAGGGTAATAAGAAGAC